ACCAGATTTGGGACACCATAAAGGGACCCGGGTAATCCGAAAATACTACTACTGAATGTCAGAGCCCCAGATCTTTAACACGGTGAGCCAAGAGAACGGGTTCGTAACACTTTACACGGCACACCCTATATAATTCCAGTTCAACATGATAAACAACAATGCACAATAACCGAGATTGGCATCTTCGATTTCCATAGCATAATTACGCAGCCTCTAACAAGGCTGTAATTGTATTCCCTACATAATAACGCGCACCAGAAATTATCAACTCTTAGATTTCTCGAGGAGAAGAATAAAAATGGCACTTCTTCGTTCTACAGTTTGCAAATTTCTAATAAATTAATTTTAAACGAAGATAAATTTTGTCTTTGAAACTTGAAAATAATTTGCCATTCGAAATATATTACACAGGGTGATCCATAAGTAACTTTACATTTAGATAAACTTTCAACTTTCACAATTTTTCTTTAAAACTTTGAAACTTGATAGAGAAGAAGTTATTTAATTTTTAAACTGTAAAGTGATTTATAGACCACCTTGTAGAAACACTATTCTAATGTAGAATTGGGAATACAGAAATATAGTAATATCGTGCTATGGTCACTATACAATACTAGTATATTCTTATTCAGCAACATAAAAATATAATAACAGAAAATATTAATATGATGCTACAGGAATATCATATTTGTATGTTATCTGCAAAGTGTAGTAACAGTTTAAACTGTGAGAATTTAAAAACACTATTTCATTATCGTATTACCATCAGAGTTTTGGGCAAAGTATCGATATATTGCTTTCGGGTCAACTTTCCAATAACTGGATATTTATTAAACAAAATTGAAAAATAATCATTCACATGAATACCAATACAAAGTTACTTTGAAAAACAATTACCAACCGCGAAAAAAAAAACGAAATAATAGAAATAAAATAAAAAATTGTGTTGCTGAATTTTACACGCTGCTGGTAAGGTAGATATGTAGCAAATACCGGGACGAACAATGTAATATAGAAGGACTATAATACGGAATTCTAATACCACGAAGGCAATCTAATATAGGAATACCACGGAAACGCAAGACGATGATACCATTTCGCCACGGAATCTGCTAGGATAGAAAGCATTTCTTGGAAATTACAGGCATCGTTTATACCCGGGGCAAAATTGGTCAAGTTGGGCCAATTGATCCGGGCCACTCCACGCGTTATTTATACCTATCTTGGTAATGATTAGTTCAATAGGAACTTCCTCCGTATTACCTGTGACCTATTTTGTTCCAGTTCTGCCATTTTACCATTCGTACGAGGCTCTCATTACGAAAGAGTCACCATGTTTCTTCGTATGGGAATAAACAATCTATAAATCTCGTTGGGTTATATACGGGGGGATTCCACGAGACATTCGAAGCATCAAACAAAAGATGCTACTTTTCCGATCTCTTTTCTCCACCCTGTAAATTACACATTCTTCTTCATCAGACGAAGCGAGAGAGAGAGAGAGAGAAAGATTAACGAGATGCATTTGTTTCTACTTTATTTCTCGACCGACTGAACAATTTATTTTACAAACGGATACATTAAATCGTGCACCAGCTTTCAGCGGAAATTGTGATCGTTTTTTCTTTTTTATAATTGAACTTAATATCGTGAAATTGTATATTACCGTTAATTATATGTCATTCGTAATTTCTATTCATTCTACGTATAGAAAGCTACACTATGTTCAGAGTTATTATATTTATTAATACTCTGGTTATAAGAAAATGCATCCGATAAAAAGTTGAATATTACTTTTTTT